AAATAGCTGGAGTTGCCTCATTTACACTGATATAATATTGTTTGTTGCAGCCAGGTTTCTGTAAGACAACATAAATAAATCTGGTTATCACTTCTTTCATGAGTTCTAATGAATTACATCACATCCCAGGCTAAACCCGCAGTAAAAATTAGATGCAGCAACCCTATTTAACCTGAGGAGGGCACCAAACAGTGTTTTAGACACAAAGGCAGGACTATTTTTCCACTAGCATCTAGGTCTCAGATTATTTGAAAGATTTACTACTCTAATTTAAGATCATTATTAGTTTTCTATATTGCTAAATATGGTTTTGATGTTTAACAATTATTCATTGTAAAATATGATCAGGACCTACAAAAAATGACTTCTGTCATGTTTCTCTTTCACTTTTAAACATATAAAAAATGTGATGGCTGTATTAGAGATAAATGCTGTGTTTTTGTTCCTGTTAAATTTACAAACAGAGATCCCATTATAAGGATTTTTTTTTTGTATAAAAAAAAAAATTTTTCTTTACAGCTTCTTGCATTATATTCTTTTTTTTCTGGTCTAGATTCTTTCTCAGCATGGAGAGGGTAAATCAGATATGTTGTAGTTTTACAGAACTGTAAAGCTTCTTTTACACTGATTTGTTAAATGTGTTTCCAAACAGTGAAATGCTGGTTTCCTTTACAGTTTTCGGCTTGGTGACAGTTGGCATAATGATTCTAATGAAGAGGCCCCAGCTCAGGGCCCTCCCTGACCCCAGTTTAAACTGACAGTTACTAATTCTGGTTATACTGTAGTATTAATTGAAACACTTAAATCTACTCACAGGATTGTCTGAAAATACAAAAATAGCTACATAAAAAAAAAAAAAATAATCAAAGGGGATGCAGTTTGCATTACTGTTCCCTTGAAGTAAGAAGCTCTAGAAGGAGTATATTCTGCAATTCAATGACTGGTTTTCCTTAAACATTTTAACCAACCTCTCACTCTGATTTGATTGATGCCTCGACATGATTTGTTGTGAATCATTGTGGCATAATAGAATCCGATTAAATTGAATTAGACTGTCACATAAACAAAAGATCTTACTTTCAGGAAAATTTTATTTACATATTTTTCAGTCATTTTCATAGGGTTGGTAAAATACCCAGAATCAGTCTTTGATTGTTGCCAAACACAGAGTTCTTTTATAATAAAACAATCATCGAACCTACAGGGGAACCACGGGAAGAAGAGGACACAGATATTGTGATGGTAGAATTGCTATGAGCACTGACAATCAGAAAACTGCTCAACAGAAGAAGTAGAGTTATAAGAAATAATGCAAAATGTCTGTTTTCAGATGTGCAAAACTTCTTCAAGTAATGCCTGCCGATGTAGCTGAAGTGAAAGACAATTCCAGTATCAACAAATGCGTGCCTTTTTAATTATATTTTATAACACAGTTAAACCATTATTTTCCTTTAATTTCACAATTGTGTACCGCTTGATCTGCAATACAAATCTCAATAAATAAAACATGTCTTACGGTAGTTTTTTACATTACATAATAAATGAAATATGGCACGGTTGTATAATTATTGCCACCGTTGTAACCTTTGTCCACACTTAGCAGTTTATGAGTCACACTGAGATGTTTTCTATCTGTGGGACTTTCTGAAGGACTCTCCTATAACACAAGAATTGACAAATCTAATGTTACAAATCCTCTAGAAGAACAGAACAACATGAGTTGGAAATTATTGCTGTGAAGTTGGTACTTAAGCCTTAGATTTTGGAACAATCATCAGAATCCCTAACCCGCCCTGACTTTATGCTATCATAGCTTGACTTAATATGTTTTGATAAACATAAATCTATATTTAAATAGTAAGAAGAAGTCCAATCTGATGTACCTATCCTAATTCATCTGTTCAACCATAACATAATTATCTACTCTTACTAATGTCTTAAAAAGGCCCTAAGTGTCAAAGTCTATATTTCTCATAATTTAAACTCTCTTAAAGTTGCTTATGTTCTCTAAGTCTTTCTAGGTTGAAATCGATTTCATTAACTTTTAAGCTAATCTGTTAGATTAGATGTAAATTAGGTGTTTTCCCAGGCCCTAGCAAACTTGTCAGCTGGCCTGAGTTGTAGTATATATTTGGATTTACTACACCAAAACTGCTCAGCTGCTTCACATCAGAAATATTCAGGATAATCCAACATGTATAAAAAAAAATCTGGAACCTTCTACCGTTCTCATCCTATCGGCAATATTACTGGCTGACAGAAGTGAAAGCTACATCTGATTGGAACAAATCTCCGGCAGACAACAGACCAAAAGAAAGTGAAACAGAGCAAGTCTATATTTAGAGTTTTATAAGAATTGGCACACGATTCAGGCTGTACTTTAAGACGGACAGAGCCAGAGGTAAGTCAGAAGAACAAAAAAAACGTATTTTTCCCAAAGGGAATCATTTAAACATGAAATATGATCAACGGGTATTTAAGATTAACAGTTAACCTTTAAAAAACAAACAGATTGATCTTGATGTCTGAAGAATGAAGGAGTAAACTTTCCACTAATTAAAGGAGAATATTTGCTAAACATTATGGTTATAATTAGGATATATTCAAATTAATTAAAGCAACGGATACAATTTTCTTTATAAAGTGAATGTTTCTTAGCACTGATTAGCAAAATTATACTTTCTGCCTCTTTGAAACAAACACAAGATATTCCTATTCAACTTTTAACTGTGAAATGTTTCTGAAAACTTTAGAAGAAAATTCAAGTTTGTTAAATGTGTGTTGCATTTTATTGTCTTCTGTTCATGAGCTCATGGTTGGGCAGTGAATAAATAAATAAAGATAAAGAGAAATACAAATATTTATCTGATGCGTGTCAGACCAACAGAAGACCTCATTTACACAAAGACTATAAATGTGTGTCCTTTTGGTGCTTTCTCATGTTTGGTCTGCCTTACTTTCACACAGGTGATCTTTGAACCAGACATGTCGAGATACCAGCTTCTCCTGGGGCTTCGAAACCCCAACCTGCACCTTAGGCTTCGAAACCCCAACCTGCACCTTAGGCTTCCTATTCAGTAGCTGTTAACCTTCTGGGCTTTTAGATTCATGACTCCTTTATAATTTGTCCATATTTTTACACAATTTTCTTTTGATGAGATTTCCTGGTGCAACACTAAATAGTCTATAATGTGCTTACTATACGTCACTTAAAGAAAAAGTCCGGTCATATTCAGAATTCAAACTTCTGAAAGTACTTTAAATATGAAATTATTACATATTGTTCAATAAATGATCAGTGTTTTAATTAAGAGTGATTTTCATTTCAATGTGCTTTACTAGAGACATCCATGTTTGTCAAATAACACTACTGCCACCTACCAGTTTGTGACGTCATGCTGCGGTATCGGCTGTTCATCAAGTCCCAGTGCAGTATCTGGTGTTTGTCACAACGCTTGTTGGGTTTTTAATCCAGAGAAATGTGAGTTTAAAAGATTAAAAGGAAAATGATCAACACAGAGACAGGATTTTGTGACCTCAGCGTATGCCGGGTGGAGAGAAGATCCTGGCTTGGAAAGCCATCACCTTCTCCCACCGATCCCTTCATAGCAAAGCCTTTTATTAACAGTTTACAACATCAAACAGGCGGGCCTAAAACAGAAGAGCCAGTAATCATTGTCTGGGAGGATGCAGGTAACGAGATGGTGTGAATTGACCAACTGGCTGGATGGAAGTCACACAGCCGTGTGATTCTGCCTCATGACCTACAGGAGGTCATAAAAGTTTATGACCCTTCTGGTTGAAACACAGGATAGTTATCACTCTAACAACGCTCTATTATTATTCTTCGAAATGTTGGCTACATATTACAAGTTTTTTCTCTGGCCAGAAGTTTGATGGCAAATCCTCCCTCTTCAAGTTGGTAACCCAACAATGAACCCATCCGTGGAGAATCAGGAATCGGAATGGTGAAATAACTAATTTTTTTCACTTTTACCCGATGTATTACAAATTCCAACTGGCATGCACGTGGGCATTGTCAGTTTCACTATAGCTCTGGTGAATTTCAATGGTGAAGTCCTCTGGAAATCTTCAATAATTGTTGTGGATTGCAGGCGTGTCTAGTAGTTCCCATTGATTTTGCTTTTAAAGCAGGGAGAATTTATTAGGGTTTGTTTCCTGTATAAACCACAGTTCAGCGGTTGTGGTTTAGCGACTGTGGACATCAACTAGAACACTGGTTCTGTCGCTGTTTTGAACTATGCAACTGCCTCTGCCACTGCCGCCTCTCCCTCGCCACCAAAGGGAACACCCTGTTTTAAAGACTGCTTTGACTGATAAAATGAAGCCGGTAGTTTCTTTAGCTACTTTTTATTCCGTAAAAATTCAAATATCCACTGGACTTGGTTTCCAAGATTTGAAGACGTTTCACCACCTCTCCAGGAAGCTTTCTCAATTCAATTCATTTTCTCAATTCAATCCATTTTGAATTGAGAAGGCTTCCTGGAGAGGTGGCGAACCGTCTTCAAATCTTGGAAACCAAGTCCAGTGGATATATTTTTGAATTTTTATGGAATGTCTATGACCTGGATGACTGAGAACCTTCATCAGCATAGCTACTTTTTAGTTTGCTTTACACACTAAAAATCCAGCAAACTGTTGCTGAGATAGTTGACTCCTATAAATGTTTGGGTTCTAGCCTTAATTACCTGTGCAGGAGTAATTTCATAAATACTCTTTATGCATTGAAGTTTAAGAGCAAACTCTTGCTGCAGAGACCTTTTGGAGTGCAGCAGATGCTTCTTAGGTTCTTCTTTGTCTCTGTGGTAGCATCAGCCATCTGGACAATAGCAGAACATCTAGTTTAAATGTTTCCCCATTTTTCCTGCAGGGATTCTGACACCATCATGAGCCGGGTAGAGCGGATTGAAATTTATAGTATTACTGTGAAAGCATATCCGGTGACTATTCCTCAGACCGTTGAGAACCAATCCTACATCATGTATCACGGCACTACCCGGCAGAATGCTAAAAGTATCCTTGAAAATGGTTTCCGTCAATCGGAAGACGGCATGCTTGGTCCTGGGGTCTACTTAACCAGAGACTTGAAGAAAGCAAGGCGGTATCCTATTAATCACCCTAAGTGGGACAGGGTGGTTATAAAGGTTAAGGTCAATGTGGGCAGAGTGATAGCCATCAGATACAATAATCACCCTATGCAAAAGACCTGGTGCTTTCATGGATACGACACTGCCTGGGTGCCGCCCAATTGTGGAATGGTGCCAAGTGGTCAGGAGGAAGACTGCGTTTGGGATCCTCGTCGAATGAAGATCCTTCAGCTCATCTACCCCAGACTTGATCCTGCTCAATCCATTGTTGCAAGTCTTTTAAATCTTTTAATTTAAAGCAATCATTTGTTCATTTATTGCAATCACATGCATTATTATAGATTTGGTTAAAACAAATACTTTGTACATTTTGTCATTTTGACCTGAAAAAATAAAAGCGTTTATGTTTTGAGGCTAATCTGAAGTTTTGATTTTTAGCATTTTACATCACTTAAACCATAACCATATTATTAAAAATATATTTTTGAAAAACAAAAGATCAAAACTCAAAAGCCTGAATGCTTTTGAATATTTGCTTCAGTTAACAAACCTCCTCAACTCCTAAACTATTCTTCAAAATTTACAGGTTGCAGTGGGATTGAGTATGAAATGAAAATCTATTTGAATCATGTTGGTCTAATCAGGAAACCTCAAAAGAAATTGTCAAGTGAAAGTATTTACTCAAGGGACCATTATGGTTTAAAACTGATTGGGTTCCATAAAGAATGTTCTGTTTGTTACCTCATAGACCCAAATGACTCAAGCAAATTTTCTTACAATACATTTTGAACGGATTAAGGACCACCTGAAGATCTTGAACTGATCTTGCCAACATACCCTAGTTTGAACTCTGACCCACTTTGTATTAATGGAACTTGAACAACGCCCCCCATGGGGTCCACAGACATTTTGGTTAAGAAGTGACATTGAAAGGGGTCAACCACAGAAAGACACTATAGAATAATAAATTGAACGCCTTGTGCTTTAACACCTGAAAGAGATCACTGAATCCCTACTGGATCCCCTAGAGTTTGCCTACAGAACCAACAGGTCTTCAGACAATGCTGTCAAATTGGCCCTTCACTACATCCTCCAGAACCTGGTTTCCGCAGGTGCCTATGCCAGGATCTAGTTTGTGGATTTCAGCTCTGCCTTCAATACAATCATCCCAACTCTGCTTCAGGAGAAGCTCGCCTAGGCAAGTGTGCCTGACTTCACCCGCAGATGGATTACAGACTTGCTGTCTGACAAAAAACAGCATGTGAAGCTGTCAAAACATGTCTCAGACTCACAGCTCATCAGCACTGGTTCCCCCCAGGGCTGTGTCCTTTCTCCTCTGTGCTTCTCCCTGTACACCAACACCTGCACCTCCAGTCATCAGTCTGTTAACTTCTGCAGTTTGCAGACGACACCACTCTGATTGGACTTATCTCTGATGGTGACAAGTCCACCTACAGTTGGGAGGTTGACCATCTGGCTACCTGTTGCAAGAGGAACAACCGTAGCTCATCGCTCTAAAAACTGTGGAGATGGTTGTGGACGTCAGGAAGAAAATGTGAAATCATCAGAAAAAAATAGAGATTTGCAGAGTGGAGCATCTGTTGCGAAGAAAGCAAGCAATATCTACAGACTTGATCCAATATTAGGACAAGGTTTACTGTATGCGGCTGGTCAGCTTCAGCCCTATCTCTGGAAAAGAAACATCCTGTTATCCTTTCTCAAGGCCAGCATGTTTCCAAACAAATAGTGCAAGATCTTCATCAGCATCTGGGCCATGCAGGAAGAAATTATATGCTTTCAGCCAGTGGCGGCCGGCCCATATGGGGCGCTGGGGCACCGCCCTCCCTGATAAGAAGAGAGAAACGTAAAATATATTTTTAGAAAT